TAGAGCTTTGTGGCTTCAAGCACTTAAAGAACAAATGCTGCCATTAACCTAGACCTTACCCCGCAAATATTCACCAAATACATTAACAAAGTTACGGAATCATGAGGTCATTGTGAAAATACAAGTCCCAGTGGATTCCATCACAAAGCAAAATCTTGAGGATTTTAATAGGATATTATTTAAGGTATAAAATTAAAATCTCTTCTTAAGTTATCTCAACAGCTCATTTAATTTATCAGGCTCAAAAATATTTTAAAGGTTATTTTAGGTTAATTACATTTCACATCCTTTTCTGACAGATCTGAAACCCTGGACATCTTTCCATCCTCTGTTACAAACATCTGTCGCTTGCCAATAACTTAAAGTTCACATTGACACACATTTTTGCATATTCACACTGTAGTCTCAACATGACAGCGTTTTATATCCATAATGTACACAGAATCTTTTTTCTTTTTTTCTGAAATGAAAACTTGGTCATTGCAACAAACAACAAAAGCAAGAAGCACCTCAGCCAGCTGGTCCACACTATTTACTAACAAAACAGCTCAGGCACCTGTGCTTGTTTTGAACACCTAAGGCACCCTCTCGGGATAATTTTGCACTACATAGCCTTAGTTGGCCACAACTGCTTTTTTTAATTAAAAAAAAAAACTAATCAATCCAAAATGCCACATTACAAGAATTCTCCTCATCTACTTGTATAATAAACAAAGCTTTGAAAAAGAACAGCTTGGCCATTATTTATCCTAGTTTCTATTCACAAAGGGAAGAACTACAGGTATTGACTCTAAATCAAGCTCGCTAGAGTAATGGGTTATTCTGCCTCCATACCTCACGCTCTCACTGCACAAGGACGCTGCAGTTCCCACCACGGAAGGGTTTAAACTCGTTTCCTGCAGAAATGCACAGGTTAGCAATACTAACACAGCAAAGGCAGGTAAGAGATCAAGGTATTCGCTGGCTTTTGAACAACTGACTTGAAATATCTTTAACACAATCAGAAATAAGAGAATGACAAAGGCACGATACATACAGCGACTACAGAAATAATTTATTTCACAACACTGCCCATTTGAGCTTTAAACACTTTCCAAGCATTAATAAATTCAGCTTTACAGAAAGCCTGTGAGGTATACTTTACTTCTACCGATGACCAAATGACTTAACCTCTCCATATCTTAGTTTATCAAAGTTCAGACATCAGGATTGTTGCATAAATCTCAGGCTTTAGCGCTGTGTATCACTTACACAGCTACACTTATCTCTGCCAAGGGATTTCACCTCTCTCTCTCAAGTAATCTCCAGGTAATAAGGATTTTAGGTTAACTCCTGGGGAAGATTGTGAGCTGCAGCTGTTCGGAGGTGACGCACATAAACCATCATATTCCCATCTCCCTCCAAGGGGTAAAATAAGCAATCACTGTGTCTCTGGAGCTGAAACTGTTTGGGTGGCTGGAAGGACACACTGCATGGCTTGGATAAACCAAAATGATATGGTATAGGGACATACACCAAAGGAAAAGCAGCAGTCAAACATGACGATCATGCTACTAATTTCTAGAGCATCTCCAAAGCCTTTGCTTAGTCGAAGAGTGATGGGGAATTTTTATAGATGTCCTAAAGCCCAAAGCAGTTTGCGTTACTGGAATAAAGTAGTCTGAAACTCAAGCAAACAAACTGCTTCATGTGTCAGGAATGATCCTCCTATTATCACATCCAGGTACCAGAAGTGTTACCAGACACAAAAGGCAATCATATTAAAATACTAAATGCAGACATCTCGCACTGCCTTTCTGTGGAAATACTTGCCCAAAGTCACCGAAATAAGAGAACCAAATTTTGACTATTTTAAATTAAAATCCAGAATTTTTACTGTCTACATCAGTATGGTGTTATAGAGAGGTCAATAAGAACAACACTCTTACGAAACAAAGCCTCACTCGGTGACAATGTGTGTTCCCAGTCTGAATAATTCTTTATATCTTATCTTACATTCCCCACATCTCTCCAAGTAAAAAAGCTGATTTTCTATGCACACTACAGCAGTTTCTCACTTTACACCTACAATAGTGCTGCTGTCAGGAACGGAACTGACTGCATGTGCCAAAAATCATTTCAACATATTCATAGACAAAAAAGTAACATGCAGCATCTGAAGATAATGAGAAGTGCAATCATTCAAACTGACAGTCTAGTGCCTAACAATTATCACAAGGCAAGTTTTATGAATTCATATTTCCTACGATGACAAGCCTTAGGTTACACAGAAGGGTGCTGAAATTTTCTTTCAAGTATGAAAATCTCCTTTGAGCCAATGAGTCCACTCCTAAACAGAATTCACTTAACTGAAGTGAGTAAAAAGATGCTGACTGTAGTTAAGTAGCATGCTGAAATTCCTTCAGAGCAAGATGCTATGTTTAAGTAACAGGTACTGTATATTAAATATAACTTTAGTGCAGAATTTGTTAGAATTATTTGCTATTCTTTAGAAACATATTATGCACATGTATTTAATAGTGAAAAACCTATCAAGACAATCAGTTTGGAATGCCCCTGTGAGGCATGTGTCCTGAGTCTAACACAAAAGCACACAGAACTAGAGGGTATGCATTTTAGTTTTCCTCCCAGAGATACGTTAAAGCTGTGACATCAGTGTGAGTCTCTTCACACACTCTAAATACTTGCCCAATGCCAATGCCCAGAATACTTAAGTATGTTCAGAGAAGATCTTCTGCAGTTTGCTTACAATATCATCTACTTCTTTGCTAAGGCTTATTCTCCACTGTTCTGCATTAAAAGATCCTAAGTCATTGTTCTTGGTTTCCAGTTTTATCATTCAGCTCATGCAGATACACACAACCCTTTGTCTACAACTTGCTCCCTTTCTCTTCTTCAAATCCAGTCCCTTCAAATAATTGCAAGCCTGGACACTGCTTTAGTTCTTCCAGCAACGCTCATCATCTATCTGCGGCCCTATAGCCACACCTTCCACAACTGATAACATATCTGAACTCTCACCCATAGACTATATAGCATAAAGAAATGCAAATTTCTAATTAGCATGCATGAACTTAAACATCATGTGGTCTCAATTTGCAAATCCACTTACTTCCCATCTCAAGCTACTGCAGCTAAAACTATTTTAAAATGCAGTTTCCATTATTTCATACAGTAATAAGATTCACTCATTCATACAACTATAGTTTCTCTTATCTCCTGCTTTTCTAATAATATAAAAATAGTATATTCTACTTGTACAGTCAAGTACTGAAAGTTCTTTACTCCATAAAACAATTTACGGTCTTCATCAGCTGTAACATTAATGATTATTCTTACACAAAATTATTTCCAGCTGTACTCAGCAACACTTAAATAGTCAACACGCTACCACCTCAAATACAAACTAAAGTAAGCTTCTCTATGACAAAACATTTTGGGAAAAGAGGGGCTACATGTTTCAGAACAGACAAACATACGTGAAGTTTCCTCATCAAATTCAAATGCCTACTTGTGTAATTAGTACCCAGGCAATCAGCAGGAGATAGCTCTATGCACAGCCTGCATTCACAATTTATCCCACAACCAGTACTGTATTTTTCAATAAAAAGACAGAGAAAGGTGGAGAGTGCGGTGGAAGTTCTGCTATTGAGCTTTGCAAACTAATGTTTAATTTGCTTGGCAGGTACCTGCTCGTCACTTACAAACTCCTTTCCTTCCAAGACCTCACCACTGTGAGATAAACAACCACGACCCAGATACCTGCACAAAGCAGAGATCCTAAATAATAAACAGTAAATCCACTAAAGCACTAGGGACTAATGAGGAGACCCAGAGATAGAATTTTCTTTTATAACTAGGAGGGGTTTGAAGCAGAGTACAAAGCAGCTTGAACTTTTAGTTCCACTGTGTTTCATCAAGCCTTCTAAATTATTCATTTCTGCACTGAACTGGCAAACAACACAGAATTAATGTCTCCTTTAGCTACAGAATACAGGAAAGCACTTCTAGCTCTTCTTTAGGTTTGTCCTATAGCCATGGTATCATTGTGTGTTGAAAACGCAATTCACTATGCCGAGACCTCCAGTACTCCAGCACCACCTAGCAGGCCATAGACCAAAACGCAATTAGGCAACACAGCTTATGACCTAAAAACTGCAAAACACTAATGAGTCACAGAACTAGCTCCAAATAATCTATTTTTTTAAAAAAAAATACATGTATTATTTTATTCATCACTATTCCAACCATCACCTCTGTGTTACAAGAAAAAGAATGTTGCAAACCATGGTGTAGCATTGAAAGAAGCAGTTAATTCATACTCCAGTTAAAAAAAAAAAAGGCCAGGTTATTAGGAAGTGTTTACTGTGGAACACGCTCCTAGAAATAACATGCCTGTGCTGTAAAATCGCTAACATTTACCAGGATCTCTAAAAAAAACGTTTTAGAAAACCATACCTGCATCTTGAACTCTGTGTTCCTGCCAGAGGCCCAACAGCAGATGGCAGAGCAGCACCACCACCGCCTCGGCAGCCTCTGGCAAAACCAGCACTCGGGTTTAGCGTCCACATGAATTTCAAGGGACAAACCCACATCTAAGCGCTCTTCCTGGCAGCCAGGCATGATAGATTTGTATGTCCTTTTGTAACGAAAGCAACCCGCTCAGGGGAAACAGACTATTACGGGAAGTTTATATATTAGGTACAATTGATTCTATTCCCAATCTACCTAAAATGAAACAAAAAAGCAAAGGAGTAAAAATTTAGAAAATAAATGCCAAATAATCTCTCCTCCATCTAAAAAACATACCTCAGCTTTAGAAAATAAATGCTAAATATTCTCTCCTCCATCTAAAAAGCACACCTCAACTTGGACGCCGAAGATAACGTGCCACAGGGTGAGGTCAGCCCCAGTCACCAGGTTTCCAACAGCGGCTTCCTTGCCAAGCCAAGGGCCCAGCATCGCAAGGACGACCCTTTTCCCCATTCCGCTGGTATTGCCTAACCCGCACGGCTTCGGGAGCTAAACCTTCCAAATAAATCAGGCTGAACGCGCAGCAGCACCGGCTGGAAGTTCTTCAGCTTGTTGGTAATTTCAAGTCTTTGTATCTGAGCCTTTCTATCCTCCAGATCATTACTCAAAATCCGAGAAGCGCTTTTTTTCTTTTTAACCACTTCTAGAACAAGATCAGGGAGAGGTGAACTATCTGGCATTCTGTACAACAGCAAAGAAATCACAATTGTCTCGTTTTGGTTTAACTAATACCTTACAAAGTAAATGTAAAACCGTAAGTCATGTGAAATTATTCTCTGAAGAGGAGACTGACCCTACAAGGAAATCTTTGCAAGTCTGGCATCAGAGGATTAACAGAGCACCAACTGCTTAGTCAGCAGGCGTCATCTGTGAAGATGAAAAAATGGCTCTGCCCATGCACCATGCAGTACAGAATACAAGAAAGTTTACACTAAAGAGAGAACTGCAACCACCCAGCTAGAATCCTCAACCTCATTTTCCAAAATTATGTTCAGTTTTTCAGTTCAAGGACCACAGTGAGTTTCAGCTCAGTACTGGAAACACTTTAGAAAACTGAAGCTTGTGAGTCCTTAAAAAATAAATAAATATTCAAAAATAAAGGTTCAAAATCTCTTTCACAAAAGCATCTAATTTTCCGCTGACAGGCCTCAAACGTTTACCCATCACCACAGTTGGCAGGAGCATGCACGCTTTCTTATTCTTGGAACATCTCAAACTTTTCCGGGCATTAGCTTGTGAGCAATGCATGTAAGATGTCCTAATTAATGGGTAGCACACACTGTGCTGGAGATAGTGCTTAAGATGCTCTCTGTGGGGGGTGAGGGGGTGGGACACACACCAAGAATCCCACATCTCTCCACAAATGTAAATACATATTCAGCATTAGTGCAGTGCTCCAGCTGAGCAACCTGTCCTTAGCACCAAACATGAGGGGAAAATCATCCCTTATCTGCCCAAAAATGCTCCAGCCTTGGAATATCACCACCTCAGAGCACTGCTTCTGGTAATCCATTTCATTCACATGGAGTTTTGTCAAAATAAGTATTTGCAAGAAAGACACTCCCAATCTACCTCCTTTACAACAATCACAGTCTCTTTTTCCTCTGGAAAATTAACAAACCCTGATGCTTTCTTCAGAAGAGGGTGCATCCATATTCCTAATCATTCTCATCAGCTGCCTTCAACATGTAAACCAAGTTCTAATGCTTTTTATGACAAGGTGCCTGCAGATAAAAGAACTCCCAAACTAAGTCAATAAGAGATTTTCCGCATTATTATCCTTCTGGCCCTTATACACACACTTTATATACAATCCCTGTTCCCACAGTTTTTACTGTATTTGGGTCCTGAGAGCAGAAAACATCACTGAGATGCCCACAATGGTGCTTTATTGTCTTGTTTCTCTGATTGCTTCCTTGACTCTCTTAGGGATTTAAGTCTTAAATAGGACGCTCCCCATCGGAATTCAATCTACTAGGATCAGAGCCATCCGTCTTAAGAGTAGATGATCAACTGAAGGTCATCCTCTGAAATCCTCACATATATTTAGCAGGCTCACAGATCAGATCAACATCTATCACGCCACGATAACAGCAGTCAGCGTTCAGGCTGCCCTGGCTTCTTTCTCAAGTCAAGGATATAGTGACAACTGCTATGCAGACGCATTAATCCAGGCTATCATGTGTGTACGAGCTGAACGATCCTGTCTAACAATAAATTGTGCTTATGTAGTTTAGCATGCTAGAATTTGATGTATTACCAGTTCTTGAGTTGTTGCTGATAAGTAGCCTAGCTATCAGTCTTGCTTCAGAAGCTGCGAACTAATTTCTAGATTTGCTATCGTTAATCTACCTTTTTTGCTTTGCAAATACTTCCAAGGTGGAAAAGAATGCAATTTAAGCACAGCAAACAATCTGTAGGATTAGTGGTGGTTAGAAAGTAAAAAGAACATCAGCAAAGCAATTTAGCAAAGGAAAATCCACTGATACCTACCGTGCCAAAAAGAAGGGGCAGAAACAATGCACATAGCTTGGAGTATTCTGGCTTTCCCCCACCACACTCCCACTTCTCTCTAGCCATTGTATTATAACAAATAATAAAGAATTAAATGCCCTAGCAGTCAAGGCTGGCATATTAAAATGACACTCTGCATTACTGAACCTACTCATCTCTTAATAGAGCTATTCTTCAAAGGAGATTAATTATACTGGCAAGAGACCTTTTGCTATTCTAATTTGTGAAACGTATTTCAATACCACAAGCATATTAAAACAGCTGCAAACATGTAACTAGCTCCAAGATCCCAGGACTCACTGCATGTAATTAGGTGTTCGTCTTGTGACCAGCTCTTCAGTCATTGCTTTAGAAGCCCACTTCATATAAAAAGTCTTCATTTCTAGGCTTAATTAAGTGCAACTGTAATTAACATACAGCCCACAATAGAGCATACAAAGATAGGCAAGTGACCGTATACTTCAGTACCTAACACCCCACAGAGGGACAAATACTGGATTTATAGCTGAATTTCTCTGCTTTAATTATTAAGCAGAGAATTTAAAATTATCTCAAAGTTATTGCCATTACATCTCATATAAGAACACTGGACAGCACAAATACTGCCATGACAAACGGAAAATACATCATATGAGGAACATGCAGAATTGTAACACGCAAACATGTCTGCAGCTTGTCGAATTGTACACAGCAACAAACTAGTATTCCAAATTAAATAGCTGAGAACTGATGCCTTGTTTTAAAGCACAGTTATTTTCATTAACTTAAGCTATGAAGCTTCAAGGCATTTGCCTGCTTTTAGAGAATAGGCCTGTATTTTAACATATTACTTTTTTTATTCTCCATCAGGTAAATACTTAAGACGCCGAGTTCACATGAGCATTTTTCCTTTCTGTTGATAGAGCCAAATTCTAACCTACCAAGAAAAGAAATGTAAGGCAAACACCGAACCAGCACCAAACTGAGACACAATACAATGAAATCAAATTAGAAGAATATTTATAGAGCAGCGCATGTGAAAATGCTAAGACTACAAAACTTCATTGTGAAATCAAAATTAGTGGTAAAACAAATGCACAGCACTCTGAACTTCAAAGATTTAAGTTTCTTTTCATAGCCTGGTGGTGCCAAACTGTCTAGGATTCTAAAAAAAAAAAAATCTAAGGGCTAACAATCAAAGGGCTATATCTAAAGTATACCCTATTACTTAAGGGGTCGTTGCTTTCAAACAGTCTTAAAATGTAAAATACATTTATCCAGTCACTTGTAAGTCTATAAAATAGTGTGCACCAAAATTCCCTTGTTTGAGTAAAACTTGCCTTGTTTGAGGGCAAGTCTATGGAAGTTTGGAAAAAAAAAGCTTCTAGTTTTGCTTTTACTCTACTATTTAGCAACAATTTCTGCTGCATATGTGACTGCTCACAAATATCGGTCTTTTCCTACTCTTAGAATTTTCTTCTGCTTGCGCTTCGGTGATTTTAGATATTTAGAGGTAATAAAGAACATCTACAGACAAAACAGATGTTCCAGTCACTTCTAAGTCTATAAAATAGTGTGCACCAAAATTTCCTTGTTTGAGTAAAACTTGTTATACGGGCAAGTCTATGGAAGTTTGGCAAAAAAAAGCTTCTAGCTTTGCTTTTAGTCTACTATTTAGCAACAATTTCTGCTGCATATGTGACTGCTCACAAATATCGGTCTTTTCCTACTCTTAGAATTTTCTTCTGCTTGCGCTTCGGTGATTTTAGATATTTAGAGGTAATAAAGAACATCTACAGACAAAACAGATGTTCCTTTTGGTTTGCAATTCAGTCTTGACTACAGACATCTGAGTTTCCCACACACACAGAATACTCTCTTCTTAGAAAATGCAACTTTAACAGATGCAACGTTCACTTTACCAAAACCTTTTGACAGAAACCACACAGAAGAGCAGATGTCAGTTCCAGCTCTTCTATTCCTTGGACAGTTATCCCTTTCAGCTTCATCCCCCCAGCTATCCTCTAGGGAAATAGGCCGAGGTAGCTCCTCAGAAAGCTGTTTCCCAATTAAATATCTTTTAAATGGTCAAGTTCCCATGCTCACACCTCCTTAGACTTTCAGTGATATTTTCCGTCAGATATTGGGCAGCTTAAGCAGCATTGAGAAGAAGTATTCCCAAAAAGAAATTAATCTTTAAAGACACATTTTTTTTCCTGCTTTTTGTCAAAAGCAGCCTGAACATATTCTCTTCGTGATTCGGCCTCTAGCCTAAAAAGGAACAAAATGCTGCATTCACTGAGCAGGGGCAGGGAAAGCAAGGTAAAAACTAAAGCACAAGATCACACCACTTTTTATTTATAGCCTAAAATCATCAGGAGTATTCCCAGACTCACTCACCAAACCAGCAGTAAGTGAAGGAGCAGATTGTCCCAGAGACTGGTTTCTCATGCGGACCAGGTTTGAGGTATCTCCAGGTGGCTGCCATGCTGTCTGTCCCACTCCACTGTGGACACTATTTGATAAGGGAAGTAGCTGTTTTCCTTTAAAAACAAAACCAAAATACTTTCAGCTTGTTTTTTAAATAGGTCTGCAAGTTCAAAATAGGATACTGAAAACACGTATCGCATGAGAACAAGTGTTTAATAAAAAAAAAAGAAAAAAGGCAATTTAAAGGTTTTGGTAGGTTAGAACTTGTAAGAGCACACTACCTGCGAATTCATTATGTTCGATAAGTATTCTTAAAAATCTAGTTTACATTATGAGGTAATAAATCCAAATCTTGTAGAAATAGACTTCTATCACTTTATACTTTTCTATACTTCACACAGTTTAAAAAGGAAACAATATTTGCTGCCAATTAAACAATTTATTGCCCTATAGAGGGGCAATGTTATTGTTATGAAATCTCTCAAGTATAATTTTTAGAATTCTAATGAAAACACATTCATAATTGCAAAATACTACCTCTTCTAAATAGCTTAGCCATCTAGACATCTTCACTTTCTCCTGCAGATTTCATGCAGCTGTGATCAGCACGGTGTACATTTAAAAATTGCTTTGCTTTGAACTATGGATGAATATTTTCTCTCTAAAAAAATTCACCCTTCAGCAATATCATATTATCTTAAAAGCAAAACATTCTCTAGCTTTCCCAAGACTCCTTTGTATCTCACGGATTGGTGCAGACGCTAAGCTCCCATGCTACACACACAAACAGTGGGAAAAGCGGTTCCTATCTCAGCAAGTTCACACCATTGTACTTCACTGCAGGAAATACAGCAATCATTTAAAAGAATCTGCTCAATACATTTTTTTCTTCTAGTCAATATAACACTTCTTTTTGAAAGATGTCAAGCAGTAAATTTCCACAAAAAGAAAGAACTAGAGTCAAAGTAGGTCATATTTTGACTCCATCAAGCCTGACAGTTCCCTTTCATGTACAATGTCATTCGCAGGGGGGAAAAAAAAAAAAAAAAAAAAAAAGAAAGAGAGAAAGATAGTCTTATGGTTAAAAATACGTAAATGAAAAAGTCTGGGTTCCATTATTAGCTTCTAGATGACTTCCTCTGTAACTCTGGTCAGTCACCCTCTGCACTGCAGGTTCCCATCTGCAAAATGAGAGTGAGTAATACCTCTTTTCCTCAAAATTAGGACTGTGAGAATAAATTACACACACATACACACCCCCCTCCATGGTGTAGATAGTTGCATTCAACAGATTATTACATGCTCAGATACTAGAACAGGAATCACAGGGAACTGAGACAGAAAAATACATTTTTCTCAGAAACAGCAAGCTATTTTACAAAGTCAACTTCACCTTAGAATTAGGTGTGAAACTTTACATCCATTTCATAAAAGCAGCTGCAATATTTGAAAGACTGTTACGTAATGTGATCAGCCATGATGCAGAGGGGGCAAGGTCTTTTTTTTTTTTTGTTCTTTTTTTTTTTATAAACTTGTTTATGTTAATTTTCTGTGAAAGTTGTGAGCAACAGGCCAAGTATACATTAAAAGAATGAGTCAAAGTGTATGAGAGATGAGAAGGTTCCACTCTGGCTAGCAGAGACATATTAGCACCTTTTTTACAATCCCACTCAAGCTGCTTACAGCTGTGGATATGATTTTCATGGTTGGCTCATTTTCAAGATTATGTGGAAACAGAAGCCTCATCTGCAGAGATCTAAAACTACAGAAAAGTGCTCTGCTGTATTTCGCTCAGTAAAGCACTAACAAGGATATCCCCTAATAGCAATTCAAATCATGTAACTATCTAACAGTTCAAAATGCCAGTGCTTGAGAGCAAGAATAACGTTATTTAAATCTCCGTAAGACATGGTTATCAATATCTCCTTTTAGTTCCACAGAATCTGAATCCTGGAAGACAGGATTCCATCAAGAGTCAAATCTGCACGCACAATCTCATCTCTTTAAACTTATTTGCTTCTGTTGCAAAAACAAGGTGGAATTATTTTCAGGATGAAGTTTAAAGCTAAAGCCCTTCCCTGCTATGCCTCAAGTCCTACACACCTTTCAAACACCCACATCTAAAATATATATATCTAAACATCAACATTTTCTTTATCCAGTTGGATCAAACTGATCTTGTTGGGGCTCTTTTCCTTCCTGAATCAGGTATAGTAGATTGAAAAGTTATTAAGGTGAAGCAACAGGTTCTGGAGAACATTATCAGTTCAGAAGAGAAAATTTATAAGAATGTTATCTTCAAACAGAACAATTTTTACAAAAGAAACAGAACTTCCCCAGTTTTCCTGCTTCCTCCTATTTACTTTCCTTACTTCTACTCAAGACAAAAACAAAAAACCAAACTATAGCACTATCTTTGGATATAGTAATCGCCAATGGCCATGTAATTAATTAACTTCTGTTCTCCTCCAGCAATTAACCCATTTTAGAGAACAAATGTACAAGAGTGTAAAACAAAGAACGTTTCCGTTTTTTAGAAACAAGCCACTTATTACAAATCAAACATTAAGAAAAGGCCAAGCCAAAATAAAATGTGCGTACTTCACCATTTATTTAATTCTATTACACCTAGTACCTCAAACATTAAAATATTTATCTTCCCCTGATAACAAACACAGGGACCAGGACAGGATCTATTTTCACAATCATGTAAGTCAAGCCCATGCTTCGGCCAAAACAAGTGGTTTCACCCCCTTCCTCTTCTCCTCCCCACCTGAGAGTTTTCAGCCCTTCTTCTTCTTGCACAAACATGCAAATAGGCAAAAAGTCAGCCTAATTAGGCAGGAAACGGTCTGCAAGTTAACCCTACAGCACAACAGTGGTAATCAGAGAGATCAGCTATTTCATTCAGACCGGCCATGCACATCTGGATGTCCCAATGCCAGCAGCACAGACTTTGATGCCAGCTTTAAACTGTGAAATGATCCCCTAGCCCACATACAAAGTCTTTGAAGAACAAAACTACTGAGCTGGGTCCTCCATTTTTTGGCTAACAACTAGACTATGCTCACTCTATGATTCTACAGTTGACAAACTAATTTCTCTGACAGGGCTGAAGATTATGTTTGCAAGAAAAAAAACAAACTTTGTAAAAACTGAAAAAATAGCTAGTTACTAAGCAAGATTTTTACCTTGAATCAAATACCTACAGTGCTTCTGAAGACAAAAAAGAACCTAAACAATAATTTAAACCTAATATAAAAGTCAGCTTCCCATTAAGTAACAATATGGCAAAGCAGGCAAGCTTACAGTCAATGCTAACTTTAAAAGAGGTAAGAATGCATCACTGTGTTGCCTGAAGTTCCACCACTCCCCACTTACAACTTTGCACATTAAGCCTTCGCTTTTCACCGGGGGCAATATACAGAATTTCACTCCAAATCCAGTCTCTATTTTTCACTCTTCTTTACCTTTTTTTTTCTTTTTTTTGCATCTTTCTCTTACATAGAAGTTTATATGCCCTCCCAACAAAAAGCCACCTCTAGTTTTAAAAAAAAAAAAAAAAAAAAAGGATATTGGTAAGTTGTTTCATTACAAGTGTTATGCCAACAAGTAATACTGCATCTTCAATACTCATGACCTGTCATACGGTCTTTACAAAATCACCTACCTGACAAAGAACTTGCCAAACTGCCTCTTCGTAGCTTGCAGTCATCTTGACTTAGCTGACGATGTAGCTTGGTTTTGCCAGCAGATGAAAAGATGTCAGGATTGCTGAGCTTCCTGCACCGTAATGGAGTGGACTCTGTTATCATCTCCTGCAGAAAGAACAACAAGCACAAGTTTGTTAATTAGAGCTAAGTACCTGTTTTCTGAAACATACAATCTCCAAAGCATAAACAGGACTGTTTAAAAGAAAACCAAAACCAAACACACACACCCTCACCCCTGAAAAAGAAAAAAAGACACAAAAAACACTTAAATTGTAAATCCCTCCCCTCTTTTGTGCCTCGTATCTGCATGGAAAGCCCATCACAAGAACACTGTTGCTGTAAGGGATATCATTAATAATAGTCAGTAAAAGGCAATTACACTACAGCAACTATTTGCTCTTACAGAACGTAAGAAAAGAAGCTACTGAAAAATCAGGCTCAGCTTTGATTCAAGGTATTTCCTGCCAAAGCCGAGAGCGTTTTCTCTGAATTTCTTTAATATTTATTCCACTCAGTCTATGAGAAACATACCTATAAAGAAACTGTTGCAATGTCTAACTGCAACCCAAAACTCTTATTGTGAGTTACTGTAAGACCTTAAGTATAGCTAAATAATAATTAGGAGAGAGATCATCCTTTGTGTAATGCCTTTATTATTACTATAAACAAAATTAGACATGTATTTGTCAGAAACACTCCCACACATGCCAAATTCCCTTCACAGCACACAGCAAACTTTCAATCAAAATAGCAGCAGGTACAACAGCGGCGAGCACCACCACAGTGCTCTCCTCATGCATTTTGTTGTGCCGTAGGTGTCAGTCAAGCCCTCATTTCACACCCAAAGAAGAATTACGAGCACAGCTCTCATACATGGATGTGAAGATAATGTGACACTTTCTATTACAGCCTTTATAGACGAACTCGGTCAAGTTGCCCCTTCCCTGCAGTCGTGCAACACGTTCCACATGTCTTAATGGATTGCTCCCTTTTATTTCAAATGCCTCTCATTAGCTATACAGCACTTCAAGCCATGCTTATCCTCATAAAATCTCATCTGAGGCAGAAAATAAACTGAAAGGAACACTTTCCCTGCATGATACATCACTACATGGTTTAACCTAGTTTTAAATGATGTTTAAATCAAAATTTAATCTACCAGTAGTGGATTTTAATTAAAATGTGCAGATTTTAGTCAAAAGCTATTTTTGAAGCCATTAATTCCAATCTATCCAGTCCACAGTGTTATACCTCAAACTGTCAAATCCAAGCCATATCCTTACTTAGCTCCAAGTCACTCATTCTCAACCTTTCTTAGACCCCATCTCCTTTTAATCATGAAATCCTTTGGCACCTCATGATAGTAAATAGCTTTGTTTGAGGGACAGGAATGCTCTGCTCTGTATCTGCTGGGGCAGTACACCTTTCACAGGCTTAGAGGTACTGTGCTGATACAATTTCTTCCTCTGGTTATGGTTAGACGTTCAGTGGCCACACTGAATGTCTAAACCAGACCAAGAGAGAGGCCTGGGCAGCTTCCAGTAGGTCAGTTCCCTTATCCAGCTCATCACAAACCTGCAAACAGTTGTGTTGGCGCAAGAGTGAGGAGAGGCACCAAAACAAGTGACCTGGGGTTGAGAAAACTGCTTGAGCTGAAAACTGCTTTGATTTTGAAGCTCCTCATACCCATCTTGGAGCGAAGAACTTTACCTTTTCACCCGCCTCTGACCTTTTACACAAAGGTGCTGGAGACCTCCTTTTCCAGCAGCCTAGACATCTGGTTTTTCTGTCCTTTGGAGAGCTGAAAAGACATTTACCACACTTTCTCTTTGTACTTGGGAGTCAGCTAAGTAATTTTAAATTGCAACATTAGCAGCCCCACAGCACACCTCTGAAAGGTGCAGAGGCCAAGAGCCCTCCGGGTTAGAAGCAAATTAGTTCAAAATCTCATTTAGCCTGCCCTCTCAGCTCCTCATGCTTCAATTCCAACAGATGTCCCCAGCATCCCTCAATACCCAGCTACTTCCCTCAAACTAGTCATAGCTGTTGAAGGACAAGGTGCTACTGGCCACGGCCCTGCACAAGCCGCTGCCAGGACTGTCTTGCCCTCACCAGCACATTTAGGCTCCTTTAGTAGGGGAAGTCCAGCCTTCCCAGGCTGCTCTCCCACCACGTTCCGCCGAGTTCGGGCAGGGGAGGCTGCAGATCTGCAGAGGCTAGTGCCAGTAGAAATGGTACCCTGCCCACTCCTGCCCACAAACACCTGCACCCAAGGCAGAAACAGAGAATACGCTCCCTACCTAAACTGCGGCTTTGGGGCACCCGCTTTATGTCCTGTTCCTCTCACCCAACACAAATGCCAGAAAAGAGAATTTCGGGAAGCGGATGCAGGAAAGAGCATCAGGGAATGGGGATTTTCTCAGCTTTTTCTTTGCTGCTACTTCACCTTCACAAACATCTTGCACATGTTGATGATGGTTTAGTGTGACATCTTCTCCAGGAGACAGTCTTAGGCCATACTACATACAGAAAATTCTTTACAAGCCCTTTTTCTGTTAAACACGTCAAACACTTGGGCAATATTCAGAAGACGGAGCTGTTACATGTTTTGAAGAAAGGGACCCTGATCACACTCTGCAGGCTCAGTGTTAAACTCTCTTCTCAAATACTTAAAAGAATATTAAGTGCACTGAGACAGTCTATTATATTTCAAAAATGCAAAGTACCAACACAGGCAGTTTAAAAACAAAAAAAGCTATTCTTATATTGTGTCGGCAAAACAATGAAGAGGGAAGGTTTTAACTTGATAACAATGGGCTTGTCTTTCATAAAACTGTAATTTATTTCACTTATTCATCAAAACCCAGCTTTAATATTGCAGTTCACAGACAAACTACATGGAAATAGCAGTGGTTTATATTACTACTCAAACAAGAAAGGAAATAAAGCCTACAGTAAGAGAGTTCTCCTCGTCCTTGCCCCCAAACAAGACGCAAGACGCAAAAGGGACAGAAAAATCTTAGACAATATTCCAAATTAATGGATAAAGAAACTCCTTGCAGGGCAAAATTTTTCTTACATGCTTTCAAATCACTAATTCAGATTACCTGACCAAGCAATTAAGAATAGATTACATAGCACAGACTGCCACAATTTTAAAGACTCCACTTCCACTTCTGAAAAGAAAAAAAATCCTTGCAGCTTTAGAAAAGAAAGCATTAGGAAGCACACAACAGAAATACTTTGCTCACAGTGTGAGCCTCTCTCCATTAATTTACTTTCAAAGGTGACAGAAATAAAACTTCTCAATTTACTTTGGCCTTGCGGCTTTTGCCACAAGCTAAAAAACAGGCTCAAACAGCTGAATCCTGCAAAGCTTGGGGCTAAAGATAAAAGCATCACACAAACAATCTTGATTTGCTAGGCAAAGATTATTTCTGTTAGTCCCTTCAAAGGTATACAAAAGTCAGCTCACATAACTTGAAACAGCAGGCTATGAAGAATGGCAAAGGCTTTTCTTGAATAGTGAGGGGGCTCGGCATTTTCAGCTTGAACATGTACCACGCTTGCACAGAAAACAGGTAAAATAGTTGTGGTACTGGAAATACCTACAAGTCTGTTCCTCTCGCCTGAAATCTCACATAGAGGTTATCACAATCAGCAAGATGGAGAACCAGATTGCAACAAGAGCTGCAGACAAAAGACAAGAAACCAAATGTGCTTCCTGATATGTAAAATGATCCTAATATCCCACGCTAAAATCCTGACCTGCTAATTTCAGAATACAGCTACAAGCAACCTTCTCAGTCATCTTTTCCATTCCATTGCACCAGGGAAGTCTCCCAGGCAATTCAAGCAAGAAATAAACCAGCCACACACACCACTGCAATGATTTTCAGCAGCTTCTTTTTTCGTTGTTTCTTTAATGGTGCTGCAGGAGAGGAGCACAGCTCAGAGCCTTAATCTACAAATGGCACCTGAACACCACAAGTGTGGATGGATGACAAAGGACTTCCTGAAGCTGCCCGATGAAGTACCACCCAGCTACTGAGACCGACGTCTTAGCAACAGATGTTATGAAAAACACTTAAAATCTGTCTTTATGGCCTACATTTAAGATGTAACAGATCATACAAAGGAGCATTTCCTTACATCTGTGTTATAACTAATTCAAAAATACACACTTCCTAGTAATTTCTACAACAAGCAAAATTACTCAATTGTGACTAAAAAATATTTAAATTTGCAGGTCAAAACACATTAAACTGTTAGCTAGGGGACAGCAGAAAAATGTCTACACAGAAAGTTTTGTATGAACAGGTAACCCATAAACAAGAAAAAGGAGAATTTTAAATTTTTTAAGCCTAATGAGCTCAACAACCTAAGGCTGGAGTGAATTCTGGCAAAGCATTGGAAGGAAGAAACGAATGAAAATTTAAATGTAGTAAATTGGCAAAGAATACACTAATATTGTTCTGTTTTGTAAGGAAGACAACCGATGTGTAATGCAACTCAAGGATAACTTGAGGCTTTCTGAATGTTTTTTAGCAATAGTCAACATCAAAAGCTGCATTTTCTATTTCTCAGTACAGTGCTGTTTGTCCTTTAAAAGATAAAAGCCTGTTGCATCAGGATTGTGTGTACATATCTGAGAAGCATTCCTCTCAGCCTTTTCTCATCACTTTATATAATGTGTGTACATACTCTTAACAAAAGGTAAATCTGATCCTGTCATTAGGTCTTCTCTAATATACTTCAAAATACACTAAAAAAACAAATTTAAAGGCCTAGAGAACAGATTACAAACCTATATCTATCTATACAAGTAAAAATTAATACCATGGTATCACAGTGATTATGCTTTAGTGTTTAGCTCCTAAGTTTGCCTTAATGTTCTAGCCTGGATGTGACATATCGAGGGAAGAGGGCCAGCAGCTTACCAGAAAGCTGAGGTGAGCCCAAATGGGACCAAAAATGGTAGCCTGAATAAGAACTTGCAACTAAAACTCTTCTGAACTGTATCTGCTTAACTCATGTACTTGCCAGCAGCATCCTGAAAAATGTCAGAGACAGCAGAACCAAGGAAAATTACATCAAATCAACATAGTCTCATAGAGGCTATTATATACTGGTTTATTATACATCAATAAGAAATAAAAGCTTTACAGAATATATATCACATTATATAAAAGTGTCAGTATTTTAAAGACAGGAAAGAGTTTTACAATATTTTTCTCTGGAATAAATCCTGACATTACCACAAAGGTAAATACTTAAAATTAATTGAGTGTCAACAGTAAGTATTCAAAATGACTGGAAAGCTAAATATTATCACTACAGTCAAGCACTCAATAGTTATACAGGGTAACACAGGCACATTTAACATTCTGAATACCTACAGCTTCCTCGGTACATTCATCTGCCATTAAAACACACATTACAGAAAAGTTGGAAAATATTTAAAACGTTCTATTTCCTCAGTTAAAACAAACAAACGAGAAAAAAAATAATGGTTCCTCAAACATATAGTATCGTAAACCTACATTACAAGATACACTCTCCTTAGAACTCAAAGGCACATTTGATTACAACTAATGAATTAAAAGCTTTAATGTTGGTTCACCAGGGAAGTTCAAGTTGTTAACTTTCTTGCCAAGTGTTCCCAGCTGCAGGAACAAATTAAAAAGCTTGTTAAAAATCAAAAGTAAATATTTACAACTATGTACATTATCACCCTCTTTCTGAGGATCCTTGAGACGAAGAATCGTTTTACTCCTAATGGAATCACAGTCTAGAAGACAAGGCAATTTGTGATTAAATGACACCAGCTTGAATGTTTGGTCCTTATTTCAAAATACAAATAACACCACAACAGTTTACACAAGGTAAAGTATTTGATCCTACTTCAGAATCTCCCACCTGACAAAAGGGTAGTGTAATTCCTGAATTTCGCTTGAAAACGCCTAAAGCCAAAAGAATTTCATCTAGGGACGGAAGAGCAACAGAGCCTCTACCAAAGTCTGTATCAAACTTTACAGAAGCTCAAAGAAGCCACTGTCAAAACTCCACAACACGCTCACTAGTTAAGCTCACAACAAAACCTGTCTGAACAAAGACACGGCACAGTGAAGGCCACGTCATTCCTTTGTCACTGGTACTCTAACCTGAGTATTTCAAACATAAGAAGGTTGTGCACAGCAGGGAAATTAACTCCTGACTGTTTAAAAAAAATAAGAAGAACTCTATAATTCATCATTTGTACATCAGAATCCTGTCCACTGCAAGGATCAGAAGAATTACGAACAACAAAAAAAAATGCGATTCGTAATAAAATTTGGTGTTACAAGACATCAATAACACCATCTCTCTGAAGATTTTCTGCCATTAAACTGAGATGTGCCAAGCATGCGATGGGTCCCAACATCACTGACTGGGATTACTGCAAGTTCTCTTTAGCATCCCACGTGCTAGCAAACCCTCATTTATCTTTTACTTCCTTCTCTGTCACATTTTATACAGTCAATAGAGATGGATGTTTAGATTTGCTAAAGACCATAATCCACCATGTCAACAAACTTTTCTCCTTTGCCGGTTTCTTACAGATTTATTCAGATATTTACAAGGCAGAAAACACTGAATTTAACACGTTTTATTTACAATTATGCTGTAAGAATGACTAGAATGGGAACTGCTTAAGGGACCAGGCAAGCAGCAGAAACACAGCTGTATCTTAAGCTGTGCATGTAAAAAGAGCTACGATTTCACATTCGCCATAAAAAGGAGGGGAATTATCGGAACGTTCTGCAGGGTGCCTTGATTCCCTGCAGCACTGCTGCTAATTTATTTTTCTCCAACGAGTGAGCCGTCAGATCCCCAACTATATTAATTTTTGTTCACACTACAGACATTGTCTGACCGTTTCATTATCGGGGA